ATCTCCCACTCGGCCAAGCTTCAGTATCTTGCTAGTCGGCCCCAGTGGGTCTCAAAATACCTGAACAACCTGATTGGATGCAAGCATTGTTCAGGTATTTGGAGAGCCAGCGGGGGCTGACTACTGAAGTTTGGCCCAGTGGGAGATTCCTCCATCCGCACAGTTAAGTGTAGATGGAGGAATCTGTTGCACTTTTTCCATCTGACCATAGCAAATCTGCAGAAAATCTATAGGTGTATGGCCAGCTTAAGAGGAATTTCCTATACTGGTTAGCAATCTAGGGGTTCTAATGCCATGTGAACAGCATAGGTGGATGAAACTGTTATAAATGAACCCCTAAGTTTACAGTACCTTCTTTCCAAGAGGTAATCTCTGTTGCCACAGAGGTTTTCCACTGACCTGATGGCAACCTTAGTAAGTACTATATGTAAATAAAAAGTACACATATCTCCCTGAGGAACACTAACTCCCTTTATGTGACTTTTATGCTTGTGGTTGTAAGAGCCGTCACAATACTGCCCAGAACAGTTCAACACAGCTGGTGTGAACAGACCTTTAGAATTGTGCACATCTTTGTGAATTGAGCCCACAGACCCTGATGTTGTGGTATATGGGTGAGTGTGGTTGTCCTGGGCAACATTGTCCAAATTTTATTATGTGGTGGTGGTAGTAAAAGTAATGTATTTAGGGTGTAACATGAAACATAGTTGCATCACCCAACCAGGGCTCGATTCACACCGAGGCAACACTTATTACATGCGTTTTAGGCGCCTCTTTTTTAAAAGTGTTTTTGTGAGCAGAATTGTGCACATACATGTGAATGGGCAAAACGTGTGCAGAAACGTGCAAGAAAAACGCAATGCACATTTTTGAAGCGTTTTTTTTTAATTGAGTCTATGGGACAAGTAGCTCGTATACTATTTCAAGTGACAGGCGTATTTCTACTTGCGACAAAACACACAGGTGAGAACGGGGGCCAAAGAAATGAATGGGATTCTTGGGTGGAGCGCTTTGTCACGCTGAATCAGCTACGACAATACGCCTAGGTGTGATTGGACCCTTAAACTGCCTCCGCCCCACACACACACACATACCTGAATTGCGGAGAGCTTCTTCATGAAGCATCTTGTTGATTTTTTAAATTTAGCCCAGCTGTGCAAGGGTCCACCTGCACAGCTGCATCGTCCATTCAAAGGGATCTGTGAATGGAAAGACTACAAGTGCCATTTGCCTCTGTGCCAGAGGGACTCACAGATCTCACTTCCTTTCTAGTCCACTGGTTACTTCCTCCAGTCCCATAACAGAAGATCTGTACCTTTGCATGATCCAGGGGCTGGGATGTAAACAATACCTGACCCAGAGCCAGTGGCGTAACAACCGGGGGTGCAGCAGGGGCGCGGGCACACCTCTGCATTGCACCTGCGCTGCACTAAAGGCTGTGACACACTGCATGCTAAGCAGTACAGAGTGGTGGTGCGCAGACCTTTGCGTGCAGTGTGTCATGTCATTTTCACTCCGGCACGTCAGCTTGCGAGAGATCGCATAGCTGAGCGTGCCCAGATGAAAAACGTCATCTTCAGCCAATCGCCTTGTGCGTATCAACCCGTGCGTCAGGATGCAAAGTCTATTCGGTTGTTACACACAAGCCGAGTGGCTGAAGATGCAGTCTTTCATCTGGCCGCACTTAGCTCACACACCATCCGAATGTCCATGCCTCACAGCTTTGGTTTGCTCTGCACGGCTTCGCATGCAGTGTGTCATGGGCTTAAGAGCGGTTGCAATGCCCTGCATGCTTCAATGTAATAAATACATGTTTTAAAAACATTATTTTTGCCAGTGTTGGACTATGCCTATGGACTAAAGCAGGGGCGCCCACATATTTTCGTCTGGAGATCTACTTTTTAAATTATGAGATCTACCAACGAAAAAACACCTGCATTCAGGGGCGGGAGGGGGCGTGGCGGTGCATTGAAGTCAATGGCACCGCAGCCATGCCCCTCGCCCACAGTGCGATCGCCTGCACCCGGAACCCAGACACATTAGTGCCTGCGTTCCAGTCCAGTGCGATCCGGAAAAATGCTGCAAGCACTATTGTTGCAGATCTCACTGGACCGCAATGCAGGCACTAATGTGCCTGCGTTCTGGGTGCGGGCGATCGCACTATGGGCGGGGGGCATGGCTGCAGTGACTTCAATACAACCCCACACCCTCTCCCGCCCCTGAACGCAGGGAGTCGGCCGGCTTACATTCCAGTGCGTCCTAGAGGCCCCGGTGTCCTGTCCTCCTGCGGTGCTCATGAAAATATTTACTATCGCTAGTTTCTGAATGGGGAGGAGCCGCTGTAGTGAGTGCTTCTCCCCATTGAGAAACTCATGAATAAACAGGAAGTGATGTAAATCATATCCAGTTCATTTATAACTGGGGACACATAGTACTATGTGTCCCCAGTTATTTACAAACACTGGAGTGATCAGCTGATCGCGCCAGTGTTTGTCCTGCACAGAGGATCGATACATATCACTGATATGTACCGATCCTCTGCCGCTCGGCCACGCACAGGGGGGCTTAGCTTCTCCTCTGGATCCGTGCTGCTCTCCGGGCAGAGGCAGCGGGGTATCCAAGGAGAAGTGAAAGAAGCACTGCAGCCGCGGGGGGCGGAACCGCTGTCACAGAACTAAGGGTGAGCGGTGAGGGGAGAGAGAGGCAGAGCGGTGAAGGGGAGAGAGAGGCCGAGCGTTTCTCTCTCTCTCCTTACCGCTCGGCCTTAGTTCTGTGACAGCGGCTCCGTCCTCCGCCGCGGGCTACAGCTCTTCTTTCACTTCTCGGATCCCCCGCTTCATACAGATGGGGGAGGGCAGCGGGGAGCACCACGGGCGGGAGGAGAGGCCATCGCGATCTACCACTGATCACTACGCGATCGACTGGTAGATCGCGATCGACCTTATGGCCACCCCTGGACTAAGGAGTTCAGTTGAGCTTTAAAGGTAAACTAACCCCCCCCCCCCCCAATTTCCCTTTTGAAATAGAAAAAGAGATTGCCATTCATAACTTGAGGAAATAGTATCAGTTACTATGTTAACAATCATGAGTGAAAAGAAAGTGATGTAGAACACTTCCTGTTCATTCATAACTGTGGACACAGTAAGCATACTATGTCCTCAGTAATTTACAAACACTCAGCTATCAGTTCTGAGTGTTTGTGCTCCGCTCTCCTAACTCACCTGCCACGGCAGAGTGGGGCGGTGTGGGAAGAGAGCTCGGCCTCCTGTAACAGCTGGCAGCTCTCTCCTCCCCGCACCGCCCTCCCGACAGCTTTATCCTCCCAGCTGGGTGCTGGTCTGTATCCCCTGCGGGGATTGGAGGGGACACAGACCGATGCCACATTTTCAGCCGTTTTGGTACTATCGGCATTTTGCCCATAGTACCATTTTCGGTGCATCCCTACTTAGGGCCCATTTACAATGGCTCCATTGCGATCCATTTTTCAAGGGATGCTAACAGAAGAGCACTGAAAAATGAATGGGTGTGAACGTGGCTAGTTCACACCGCTTTGTTCCGTTACGCTGAAAGTGCAACATAACGCAACAGATCCAGTGTGAACTAGCTCTATTCACCCATTCATTTTTCGGTGCCCTTCCGTTAACCTCCATTGAAAAACATGTCACAATGCAATGGATTGGAAGGTATAATTGCAAGTCATTGGACCCTACGTTGACTTGCAATTTCCTTCAGATTTTGGTGTGAACAAGCCCTGAAGCACCCCAACAAGAAGGTGGGGCAATGCTAGCTATGAGCGCTTTTGAATAGCAGGCTTTTTTTGGGGGGGGGGGGTTGTGGTGCAAATAGCCTACAGATATGGCAATTGCATTATTTGTAGCCCCTGACTGCATAAAAAAGAAAAAATCTAATCTTAGCCTTAAGGGCCTGTTCACACGACGTCCGTTTTGTGTGCTGACCGGCTCCGTACGCTGCTGCACTCAAAATGCATCCCTATGTGTTTTATGGGCTACAGTTCTCACGTGCGCAGTCCGTTCAGCTTACATTTTGTCAGGTCCGGAAACGGTCAGGATACGCAAACGCGTCAAAAACGCACTGCGCTGCAGCTAACAGCCCCACTCCAGTTTTTTGCTGGAACGCATCAAAAACGCGGCCAAAAACGCAATGCATCAGCAGCTCCACGTCTGCTGATCAGGACCTGATCTCATGTGAACAGGCCCTTAGGGCTTGTTCACACCAGCCTCCCAGTAAAGCACTGCATTTTACCATGTGCCTAATGTCTTGCTGAAAGGTAGCAGTGAGCTGCAGTTCCTTGCACTGTTGCAACACAAGGCACTGTTTACAAACTGTAGGTTCTATTCAGGGCCGTTGCAGACCTGGGAGACCCGGGACCACACGATCATGCACAATTGCACATAGTGTTTGACGCGCGGCCCCGTTGATTTCAATGGGGCTACATCCACACGGCATTTGCGGAAAAAAGGTACATGTACCTTTTTTTCGACAATGCGCGGCTGCCCGCCCGGTACGACTGGGCTGCCGTTAGAGAATAATGGCACCGCCAGCGTGATTGGCGGTGATGGGCGACTCCGTGACCTCACGGCAGATCGCCCAGGTGTGAATCTGACCTCAGGCCCCCAGGGTCCAGTGCGTCTGCCTTTTTTTTTTACAGCGCACTGCACACGACACCTGCACTGTATTGTGAACAGGGCACATAAAAGACAATTGTTTCCTATGTGTCCTAGTGATGATTGCCATTCTTTTGTTGGTGAAATACGCCAGTCACCACTTATGGTGTGAACAAGTTTTTATGCTCTTTCCAATACCAAAATAATCTTGCCTTAAGTGAAAGCAATTTAGACTGTTGTAAACTATCTTAGGGCAAATAAGAACCGTTTATTAGCCTGCATAATACATCAAGCATCAGCCAACATAGCCACCGCTTGTATTTTCTCTTTGCAGGTAAATCCCGCAGAAGCAGAGGCCGCGCATGCGCACTGAGGCCCGGAGTGCAGGCGGTGTCAGATGACGTTACCCGGGGCCCTGTCAGGAAGTTCTTCCCGCTGCCGCCCGTGGAGCGCACTGCGCATGCTCCTTGCCACCATTTTGCCGTTGAGTGTTGTGTCGGGGGCTCGTTCACCGGGGCGGGGGAGGCTAAGGAATCCGGGCCCGGGAGAGAGCAGCTAAGCGTCATTGCAGCCAGGCCAGCGCCACGTCCACCGACAGGCCGGGGAGAGCGGAGCAGACATGGCCAACATCGCCGCACAGAGAATCAAGAGGGAGTTCAAAGAGGTGCTGAAGAGCGAGGAGGTGAGAGGGGTGCCATCCCTGCCCCATTCATCATGCCATTATATACAGCCGGTCCATTGTCCCTCATTGCCAGGATGGGGGGCCCCGGGTGCTCAGCACGGACCGGTGCAGCCCTCATTCGGCATTGCACATTCTTTTATGTGTCATAAGACAAGTTGTGCAATCCAGGGAAGTGTTTAGAGTTCTGTCTGATCAGCTTGTCATATGTGGGTGTCAGGGCCTCGTGTATCAATGTGTCATTAGAATGAGTCTGATCAGCCTTGTATTGCTGTAGGTTGTCAGTGGAGGGATGGTGACTGGATTGCTGCTCTCCTGGTTATTATAACCTGTATATTCCTATGGCACTCACTGCACTCCCAATCAACGTGTCTGTTTCAGGTACAGCGCCATTCTGAACCGACGTCAAGACCATGGCGCACCTTCTCGCTTCTGCAGGCCTGGACAAACCTCGCAGAGATCTATTAGCCAGCTGGAAAAGTTAGGAGCCAGCAAACTGCAGCCAGTCGCCATGGCAATTGCTATTTCTAAATCCTATATTACTGACATTTATACAAATTCACAAATACCAAGTGTGTGCGTAAGTATATCAGTAAAACCTTGTCTCAAGTCCAATGTTGTGGCAATATCACCCAGACAGTACTGAGCC